TTCGGTAATAGGCTCTTCTACAAGTATACTTAGTATCTTGTCGATACTTCCCCTAGCTACGAATTCTTACGTACCCCGATTATTCGCTTGATCTATAGCTACCGTATACGCTGCCCTTGCTATATCCTCTAATTCTGTTATCTCCTCGTCAAACTCCTACTGCGACTCCTCTTCTTTATCCTCTCTCTCTATATCTAGTCGACTCTCCTAGAGAGAATTAGGACCCGTCTCCTCCAAATCTAGATAATCGAAAGGATTGTAGTCTTAGCTAAGCGAGATATCTTGATCCTAGGTACCTATATCCTCGTCGCTATACTGAAAATCTGCTTGACTAGGCCTCGTTATAGGTTGGGTTAGGTATAGGTTAGGTACAACCCAACTTAAATACCTAACCCTACAAATAAGCTAGGTACCTAGCTTATAAGCGGGGTATAACCTAACGGTAAAAACCTAGTAGGTATACCTAATAGGTATTGCAATAGGTATTACATAATACGAGTTAAATACCTACAAAATAGTAGAAAGAAATATTAATAAGGGATATATACCTACTACCTGATTCCTAGAGCGTAGAATTTGATAGGAATATATTCTATGTTTATTGCAGCTGCCGACTATATATGCCGACTATATATACCAATCAAAAAGGGATTACCAGAATAATAAGGGAAGCTCTAACCAATTGATTATAGTTATGAGCTACTATATACTAAGGATAGAAACTACCTTAGTTCTTAGTAAGTAGCTGAGCATCTAGAGCAGCTTGCTCCTTTGCTTGCTGCTTCAAGGCCTCTACCTCAGCGTCTTGTATCTTTTGATAAGCGCAAAGTTGATCCTCGAAATTCAGCCGCTACCAACGATGAAACTGACGCGCAATTTTCTTTGCGTCTCCCTCGAGAGTTTCCTAAGCAAGGCGTAAGCCATCTTCTAAACGCTCTTTCGCAACAGTAAGCGCGTAAGCTGCCGCTACTAGCTTATTAGCATAGGCTTCTAGCCTCTGCTTAAGAGTTTGCTCATCATCGCTAGAATCATTATCTAGCTCTTCTTGATCATAACTAGCTTGAAAGTCTCGACCTTAGACATCTTGATCTCGGACATCTTGATCTTGCTTATCTTGTTCCTGCTTATCTTCATCCTGCTTATCATCGTCCTGCTTATTATCTAGGAGTAGCGGAGTATTATCCTAAGCTATTAAATTAGTATATTATAATTAATAATAAAAGAGTAACTTACTAAGAGTTGCCTGCTAAGCAGTAGTATCCTCGCTATTATTGTTTTCTATAGTCGGATTCTGAGTGGCGTCTAGCATATCCTCGTCAGAATCGTCTTCAACGATTCGTCGAGGCTGCTTAGTTGGGAGAGGCTTGCATTTTGGCGTAGCCTTTGCTTTCAGCGCCTTAGTAGCCTTGTTCTTCTTTGGCTCTGTATAGATGAAATTGGGATTGATAGGACCAGAATTGTAAGGGCAGACTACGAAATCGTTAGGCCAAACACCCTACTCCTTGAGAAGCGAGCGAAGACACTCTATATCTTTGCCTTAGAGTGTAACGCGCTTAGCGTAGATGGCCAAAAGGTTGGCCGCTAGAGGAGGTAAGTAAGTAAGTAAGTAATCAGAAAGAATAAGAAATAGGAAGACTTATAGGTAAAGATTCTCACTAAGAGAGACTCAGCATATTCTTAAAGAACGCCAAGAGCGCTTGCTTGAATGCGAAGAGGTATATAAGCCTGATCTATAACGAGCTCCTTGATAAGTCTGGCAAATAGGGTTTTCTTGATGTAGAGCAGGCTCTCCTTCTAGCACTTCCTGATCTCTTTGAGAGCCAATACTTTGAGAAAGTTAGTGCCGACTACAAATGCCGACCACAAATGCCGACCACAAATCTGGATTCTGGAATTACTTACTACCTAGGGCATATCTGTATCCCTTCTTAATACGAGTGCCTAGAAGCTTTTTACTACCTGTACGCGAAGGAAGTCCCTTTCTACTAGTGCGAGGAGTCTTGCGTACGATCGATTGTTTACGCTTCTACGCAATCGACATTGCCGAGGCCATTGTAGTGGATTGGTGCGCTGGTATAGTATAGTAGCGGTAGTGTAGTATAGTGTAGTGGTGTAGTATAGTGTAGCGGAGGTAGTATAGTGTAGTATAGTATAGTAGAGGTAGTAAGGAGAGAGAGAAAGGAAGGGAGCAATATTAATGTAGTAAGTTAGGTTTTTTCTGAAGTGGAGAGTAACTTTGTATTGTTAGGAGACAACCGCTCGGCCAATCAGAGGCTACGGATTGTTTGCTGCCTAAGTAATAACACATACGCACTTTATACGAGATCCAAATAAGGTTTGCGTATGTAATCTTCAATTGCCGGGAGTGACCGGCAGGCACGGTTAGTAGGTACGGTCGGCAGGTACGGTCGGCAGGTACGGTCGGCAGGTACGGTCGGCAGGTACGGTCGGTAGGTACGGTCAGCAGGTACGGTCGGCAGGTACGGTCGGTATAGGTAGTAAATATTATTGGAAAGTCTTCTCGGTAGGAGTCCTAATCCTTCCCCTAAGACATAGTTGGCAGATATAGTCGGCAGACATAGTCGGCAGATATGGTCGGCAGATTCCCAAAAGCTTAAAAGTCATCTTTTCCGTTATTTTCCCCTAGGAAGCGCTTCCGAATCCATCGACAAAGTACTATATCCTTTTGCTGCAACGTTACTCGTTTCGTATATATTGCAAGCATATTAGAGACTTCGAACTCAAGTATAAGAAACGCTTCCGTCGCTTCCTATAGACAGAGGAGGGCCTCTGCTTAGAACCGGCATACGCTACTCGAAGATTTACTTGCGATATCTATAGTAACTTCCCGACAGATCCTCTGGAATAGTAGTCGACGTATTAACAGCTCGGTCGTCTTCTAGTATCTCCTAATCTCGCGAAGAGCAGCTACACTAGGCTTTGTTCGTCGCTTAGTTCTCGCTTTGGGTGCCTTTCGTATTATAGGCTTCTTCTGCGGCCGTTGACTCCCTATCGGCCTCTTATTCCCTAGATAGGACTTTTTCGCGACTAGTTTCGTACGTCCCCGCCTCCTTTCGGCGAGGCTTTTACTTAGTCTAGGAGAGGCTGTCGGTTGAGGTGGTTGTCGTATACGCCGCCTAATCGGTATATCCGAATCTTCGCTAGTCTCCGGACTATAGATTACTGGACCTGTACCTTGATTTGCTTGCCTTTCTTCCTTCTCTCCGCTATAATTAGGATTATAGATTACTCCCGTAGTACCTTGAGTTGCCTGCTTGTCCTCCTTCTCTCCGCTATAATTAGGATCGTAGATTACTTTTGCGGTACCCTGAGTTCCCTGCTTTTCTTTCCCCTTTCCGAGATAGGATATCTTTTCGAGCGGCTCCATTCGTTCCTCCTATGTCCTATCTAACCACTTCTGAGTCCTTATATCAGTTCCGCTATCAAAAGCAGCCTTCGGAAGCCCTCTAGGTCTCGATTGTTCGTCCTGTAGTAAATCGAGTCTATAGTCGAGTTGGTCGTCGTTATCCCTAGGGAGGGAGGCAGAGACGTAGGTAGAGAGGGAAATAGTATCCATATTAGGCATTTTGAGAGCTTTGAGTATGTCTCGGTAGATTGACAAAGTTGACGATAGAGAAGAAAAGAGAGAAGGAAAATACGGGGGGTATAAGGAAAACCCGGAGTTTGCCAAGGCGCTTATCTCGAGAGTATATCGGATCTTGCGGGAAGGTAATTAGTAATCTATACAGGGATTCTATATATATCCTAAGGCCGCTAGTAGGATATACGACTTATACGCCGACTACGTCTGCCGAACACGTTCTTCTATAGCTGTAGGACCTATTGTTTTCTCTAGGGCGTATATATAATTTAGACGCGTTTTTACATATAGGTCCTAGATATCTATACTTAATATATATATCGTTTTAATATAGATATCTATATACTATATATATATATATATAACCCCTGCTAGCAGTTATCCTAGTAGTGGCGAACGAACGGATAACAACTTATATTCGAAATTAATAACGCCTAGAGGGGGCGACTTACGTATAGTTCTTATACTTATTAT